ATTGTAGTTTGCTCCATAGGTTTTGAAATAAACCAGTTAATAACCAATTTCAAATGTACCGAAAAGTGTTTTTTCGGCTATTGACGGTTATTCGAAAACCTATGGAACGAACTACAATAACTTTGATCTCATTTGAAAGATAATTTAATTCTCTACAACTTTTGTTTCGGTACTTTTTGTTAAAAGACGCATACTTTCCCTCATATTTGTAAAAATGTAAAAAATAACCGTGATTTCAGAGGTTTTTGGGCGCTAACTTCTTAAGGAAGTATTTTTTGACCCATGTTTATAGGAAACTTTTTGTTCGGTATTAAATTATCTTTCAAATGAGATCAAAGTGATTGTAGTTTGCACCGTAGGTTTTGAAATAAACCAGTTAATAATCAATTTTAAATGTACCGAAAAGTGTTTTTTCGGCTATTGACGGTTATTCGAAAACCTATGGAACGAACCTATGGAATAAATTTTTTTTCATCATTTGTTTTTATGAAAAACATTAATTTTTATAAAGACATAAATTATGTTACTTTATGTGCACACATTCTAAATTTTATGGAACATTGAATTCCTATATACAATTTCTTGATACACTGTTTACCCTCAGAATCTTAAAGTTTGTATTTTTTATTATTTTATTTACGAGTTCGACGATCAGTTTAAAATCAATTTCAATAAAGATGTTATAATTTAAAAAATATATATGTATTTAAGCACACGAAGATATTTTCGAGCTAAGCCATCCTCGAGATGAAGAGATATTTTAGGAATTTCATATAATATATAATACATGACAGAATTTTAAACGACAGGAAGGAAAGAGGGTAAGAGTATAAATTTACATTTGGCACATTTAAAATAATAAAGCAATTAAAAATAAATAATATTATGTATATGTTATATCATTGCAAAACACGATGCGAACAACGAGAGAAGAAACGAAGACTTTAAAAGAGCGTGGTAAAGTGTGGATATTAATACGATACATTTGACTGCATCGATAAATGCAGTGTCTTATGATGCGAATGCATATACGGTGTCTTGAGTTATAGACACCGTGTAAGTGGAGGTCAGCTCTTGTGGCTCAATTATATCCGGTAGCCGCGTTGTCCTGCGTTGGCAACAAAAGCAACACCATCGGAGCAGAGTATCGATATATTGTCAGAGAGGGGCGATTAAGTGGGCCATTTCCGAGTGCTCGTTGCCCTGTCTATTGTTTCCGAGAGGGCCCATTTGCTGCTCTTGCCCGTATGCTCCCGCTAGTCGAGCACGAATGAATCGGAAAACGAAAAAAATAAAAAAACAAAAAAAAAAGAACGAACGGTTCAATAAATTTTTCAGTGGACGCACCGGACTACGCTGTTCGTACGCGCGATCATTGTTGTTACGTCTAATTCCTATATCCAATAAGAGTCGGATGAACAATTTTGAAACGTTTATATCGTTTACTATAAAACGCAATAATGCGACTTTGCAGCGATAACGTGCTGGGTAACACTGTGATTAAAAGTTTTACGTGTGAGATTAGTATTATCTCTTATCTTGAAACGTTTATATCGTTTACTATAAAACGCAATAATGCGACTTTGCAGCGATAACGTGCTGGGTAACACTGTGATTAAAAGTTTTACGTGTGAGATTAGTATTATCTAGTAACACCAGTTATCTCTTATCTGCCAGTTATATTTAATGTTGTCACATTTTCATCGGTATTGAAATAATGCCGTATATACGTTTGACATAAATATATCCACTAAAGTATATCGTCCGTGATAAATTGCTTAAGAATTTTGTTGAAGATTAATTAGTTCAAAATATCAATATTCTATCATATAATCTGGTTGGTAATTAAATATCGTAATATCAAAATAATAGTAGTTCATCTCTCTTTTCTTAAAAGTCCACTTTTTTTAACCTATCATGCTATCAATTCAGTCAACCTTCGTTCAATCTTTTAAGCAGTTCATTTCCCCTCCCTTCCTGTAGGATGAAGGATGAATTTCCTCATTTCGAACGAGAAAATCTCGACAAGGCTCGCTTTGATAACGCTCATTAAATGAGAATTTTTACAAGATGTTTAGTACTATATTGATACTCCTACCTATATATACACATTTATATAATGAAATTCTATTCTATTGAGATTACTTTTGGCTTCTATGCGGAAACTATGTATATTGTAGGAAGCTTTAGCATAGTTTGGCCGGTCGCCAAGAGATTTCGATCTACGAACCCCGACCATCTTTATACGTGGAACAATTCTTATCGAGTTTCCGCTTGCCAAAAATATATTATATATATATATATATATATATATATATGCGATTGAAACAGTGCGTGTTAGAATAAATACAGTTGCTAACATCTTGCAGTTTTGCTAACATTTTGCAATAAGTACAGTTTTGATGTATATGAAATGCGAAATTGATCGAACGATTTGTTTGGATCGCAACCCGGTTGCGGAGATCAGTGACTTTAAAAGGAAGAAAAATATCTCTATATCCTTTGTGAGCATGAATTTATATGGACAAAGAACGCCTTTCTTCATCGTTACGGTCCAACGGTTATTTTACGGATGCGTACTGGCTACTGCCTCTATAATATCGGATTTCTTTATCCTGCAATAGAGTACCGCTGCCATCCGCATTCACACATATCTGTGTGTTACGTATTTATCTGTATGTGATATAAAAGAGAGATCAAAGAATCGTGTTTTATGCTTTGTACGTATAATGTACTGAATTGAAGATACAACAAACGCGAATAACTCTTCATATCCAGTGCTTACCAAAATATATAACATTTACTATTCATTTTTTTCGTTCACGAGTTTGTAATTGTTCAAGTTATACAATCAATATCTCTCAATACAAAAAATATTATATATCAATATGTGTAACGAGATAAAGGAGAACATTTTTTTTCGATATTATTTTTTGTAAGAATTGTAAAACTATGAATTGTATTCAAATAATTTTAACTGAAATAATCACGTATAAACGGATCGCTTGTCGATAATAAAATCAAGATATAAGTTTACTACAGTATTTGTGATTTACGTACATAGAATTAGAGCGATTAGAGGTATTAATTCATGATAAAGCGATCTCGTTTGCATAATCCTAGTTCATTAATTTATGAACAAACTGATAAGGATATAAAGCGACTCGCTGAGAAACGCTCTTGGAGATTCGGAACAAAGGGAATCCTTGGCTTTGACAGATTGATCGTTGATACGTATCGCTTTACAAAGGGTCTTGACAGTGTCTATGATTGCTCTAACAGTCAAGCGACATAAAGATATCAATGACGAGAAGCATATATTACGCGCATTTTCAATAAACAAATACTAAAAAAAAACTTTTTGTGCATTTAAAGATGTAAAAATTCAAAAAATTTTATTAAAAAATTCTATTTTTAAAAAATTTCTTGGAATATAAAAGAATATCGAGTAAAATATATATTCTTTTCTCTGACTTTGTAAATGTATATCTCACAAAGAGAGGACA